TTCTGGGAGTTGAAGTCCACCCATCTTAAAGTTGCTGAGGTTGAGGAACCCTGATTTAGATCCCTTCTCTGATTCGGTACGTTGGATCAGCAAAGGATGCCTCTAATCAGTTGAGCTGGGTTGGGAAATGCTCTAAAGGGACATCTGCCCTCGAGCTTTGATTCCTTTGGCGGTGACTGCGAGGACTGTGGGGGGACAAAGACCCTGAGGGGAGTTGGCTCTGCCTTCTCTAGTTCTCCAGTGGCGGCATGGAAGGCAGCCCTCCACGGGTAGAGCACTCCCAGCTGAAGGAGAGAATGCGGCTCTACCGGTTTCACTTCTGCCTGCTGGTGGAGACTCAGAGCCAACTCCCGCCACCCACAATGCACTGCGGCCGGCAGCCCCAGCGATCCCGCCATGCCTCGGGGCACGCGGAGGACACCTTCCTCTGCCGAGAGCCTCCCCTCGCCTCACCTTCACTTTGATCAGCATCGTGGCTGCTTCGCTCGCTCGCTCGCCCGCCCGGTCCCTCACCGCTGCCCAACCTCCAACCTCGGAAGCGGAACTGGCAGGGCGCTTCGCAGAGAGGCGTCTTTGCTTGCAGCCGGCTTCTTTCCGGTCAGTTGTGACGACACTTCCGTCCCAGCCGCCAGGCCTTTTGTTCGTCTCAGTCAAGAATTCAGAGCGGAAAACCATCAAACATATCCTTCCGCCGCTATCGCGCTGCACTATGGGAGATGCAGTCGTTTTCCCACTAGGGCCGCCGTGATTAGTAGAGCTGGTGACTCCATTTCCCAGCACGCTCCGCGGTTCTTTCACGGCTCTTCTTTTCGATAGGCTGCTTAAAAAAGAGCCGCCGTTACCGAAAGGATGGAGCTATAATTCTATTTCTACACAATCATTTAAAGCTTTATTCTAACGCTGAGGCGGTGGTATCCGCAAACAATTCGACTTTAAGTACTTGGCAGGCACTAAAAAAGAAAACGTGAGCGCTCGGAGGCATAGTTGTCGCGCTTTGGCCTCTGGGAGTTGTAGTCTTTCTTATCTGTCATTCTCCGAGCTCTCTGCGCGTTATGTCACCCCGTTTAAGCGCACTCTCTTATGGGAGCTGTAGTCATAATATCTCTCGCAGGCCTTATAGAAGTTCAGGGTCACAACTATGTTTCCCACAAGGCAGTGCTCCGGTCCGAAAGGGAGAGGGAGCTGCGGGGGGCTAGCGGAGCCATTGAAAGCGGAGTGGGGTGGTGGTCCTCTTTTCTCCGATCGGGGAGCTCCGAAAGACCGGAAACGTGCGGAAAGCGAAAACTGCGAAACGGAAGTGGGGTGTGTGCGCGCCCCCCCATATGCTCCGCAGCCTGAACTGGACATTTAGGATGTGATCTCAGCTTCGTTCCTCTGAGATCCGGACTGGGGACCCTGGATTGCGGCGCGAGGTTGGCATTGTTTAGGCTAACCTGGCACTCCCCCAACCTACGTGGCGCCCTCCAGAGGGGCCAGGACTACAACTCCCATGGGCCGCGCCGGCTGGGGTGCATGGGAGTTGTAGTCCCACCAGATCTGTGGTCTCTGCAATCTCGCGGAGGGGAAACCTTACTCAGAATGGCATCGATTGATTTTGGTGGACTTTCTCCTAGGTAGACTCGAACACCGAAGGCCTCAGTGCCCTCACCCATTGGTACCTACCCCCCCACCGATGGCATTCAGACAAGCAGGCATTGGGGTAAAGAGCGAAGCCATCACTTTCCTAGATGTAAGAGCTATTGAGAGACTTAAGTGGCACCAGCCCACCAGAGGTTGCTCTGAGGCTTCCCGGTTTGGGATGAAGTGATTGCACACAATGGAACTTTTAGCATGGGCAGAGGAAGCTGCAGGTCCACAGCTTGTGACTGTGTGCATTGAGGTAATGGTAGTCAAAGGAGGAAAGTAGTTGGAGAGATTGGAGGTTACGATGAGGGCTGCTTGTGGGCCGATAAAGGACTTATTGGAAGGAGAGATTCAGATATGATAAGGCTGGATATTTGAAATTAAATGTTTCTTTTTTGTTTAGAATGACGTGTGACCATGCAGGAGAACTAGAGACTGAGGCCCATGCAGAGGTCGTAAACATTTATTAGCAGCAACCTTTGGTTCCTGAAAGCAACTCAGTTCATCAACAGTAAGAGAACTAAAAGTGTAACAAAGCTGAAATGTGTAAATTGAAAACTACCACTGATTACCCTGAGTAAGGATGCCTCTGTTCTTTTTTATAGCAATAATAAATAGATCAAACGCCTTCCAAAATAAAGGCTTGCAACCCCCTTGAGAATAATTTGCTTCAGAGATTGTATAATTTCAGGTTTGGGAAATAAAAGGTTGGGATTTTATCCCTGATGTTCCAGAATTCCAGTACTTTGCCTTTGATTTTTTTTTTCTGACAGGAGTCCACGATGCCACGCATAGATACTGACATTAAACTGGACTTCAAGGATGTCCTTCTGAAGCCAAAACGGAGTACTCTCAAGTCCCGGAGTGAGGTGTGTGGGGGGGCTTCTTCGTTCTTCATTCTCCTTGCAGAAACCCCAGCCTTGATTGCCACTTCAAGGCCTCTGGGGCTTACAGCTCCCTGCATTTGGCCCCTTTGTCTAGGTGGATCTCATGAGGTCCTTCACCTTCCGCAACTCCAAGCAGACATATACTGGGATACCCATAATTGCTGCCAACATGGATACTGTGGGGACCTTTGAGATGGCCAAGGTTTTGTGCAAGGTATAGTTCTCCGAGAACACAGAGACTCTTAGCAAAAGATGGAAGAAGTCTTCGCCTAAGCCAGCGTTTATGCTGGCTGGGGAATTCTGGGAAGTCCACACATCTTAATGTTGACAAGGTTGAGAAACACTGGCATAAGCTCTCTGAGGGATTAACTGGGTTCCAAAGGTGACAACTGTTCAGTTGCTGAGATTTCTATAACTTTACCTGTTCTCTTCAATGCATCTTGTTAAAAAGAATACAGGGAGAGCCTGGCTGCCAAGAACTTGATCTACAAGTTTTTTTTTTCCCTCCCCCAGTTCTCTCTCTTCACTGCCATCCACAAACATTATACTCTGGATGAGTGGAAGGAATTTGCAGGTCAGAACCCAGATTGCCTGCAGGTATGTATGTGATGTTGTCCTTGCCTTCACTCCTTCTCATGTCCACACCACACACTAAAGCCAAGCCAAAACGGGTCACATCTCGCGTGCTGCAAACTTAGCGTTCCTGGGTTGCAACCCATTGTTAATGCCTTTGTGTGTTGTCTAAACTCAGTCAGTTGTGGTTTAATGTAGCCGTCCTAATGTAGTATTATGGCAGCTTCTGCATCAGATTTGGAGGCTGCGGAATGGCCCTGCTCCCTCCCTCGCCCAATTTCTGCCGTCCTGTCCTTTTTCTTGGGGTTGTGACTTCTCTGCTGGGCGCCTCTCCTTAGAATGTGGCTGCCAGCACCGGCACTGCAGACCTGGAGCTCTTGGAGCAAATCCTGGAGGCTGTGCCGCAGGTCCGCGCTATCTGTCTGGATGTGGCCAACGGTTACTCCGAACATTTTGTCCAATTCTTGAGGGACCTGCGGAAACGGTTTCCTGACCACACCATCATGGTACGTTTACGTCCCACTTTCCCTCTCGAGGTCAGCAAGGAAGGGCTTTTATGGCAACTCCCCCCAGCTGCTGAATTTTAGCTTTCCAGTCTCCCAGCAGCACGTTTCGAGGTTGGCTATGTGGCCTGTCGCTGCCTTGGCTCCCAAGTTGGCCCTGGGGGGGTCTCATCAGCCCCTGCCCCTCTCTTTTGCCTCCACAGGCCGGAAACGTAGTGACGGGGGAGATGGTGGAGGAACTGATTTTGTCGGGAGCCGACATCATCAAAGTGGGGATTGGACCAGGTGATGTGGGGCCCTGTGGAGTCAACCTTGAACTTATGGCTTGTTGGAAATTTCAGCCATTTTGCACTCAGGGCAGGGTGCCCCTGCGGAAGAGACATGCCCACCTTAGTCCTGGGAGTGGGAAAGGAAAACGGTAACTGTAGAACAGAAAAGGGCAGCCCCTTGCTGAATTGGGCATTATTTTTCAGGTTGGGGGCTGTACAATACTCCCTGGTGATCTGCCTGGCTTAATCTTGGCTTGTTTCAGGCTCAGTTTGTACCACCCGAAGGAAGACAGGGGTGGGCTACCCTCAACTCAGCGCAGTCATGGAGTGTGCGGACGCGGCCCACGGTCTTGGCGGACATATCATCTCGGTGAGAAACCCAGCCCTGGTACTCAGTTTCTGGTAGCAGCAATCTAGGAGTTGACGTTGACGGAAGGGCAGAAGTAAGCGAAACTTTATAGAATGAAAGTGTTACATGAACGAAGGCCGGTGTTTATATTACGAGCAAATCATTTTTTTGCCTTTGACATAATCTTCAGGATTTCCCTCTTAGTTGCTGCAGGACAGTGGTCCTTGGAAAGTGCCATTTAAGGATCCTTGTTCATCTGGCAAACAGTTATAGTTCTCAGAATTATCAGCGACCAGTGATAAAGGCTTGAGAGCTCTAGCACAAGAGCTGCTTCTCCAATTCTCCTATTTGTCTAGCTCATAAATACTGCCCTTGAGGACTGGAACCTTGCTTTACCCTTTTCGCTTTGTTGGCGGTAGTCCTCTGTGCCTGAACTGAACTGATGTGTGTTTAGGATAGCGGCCTTAAAATAAAACACGGAAATGCTGAGGTTAACCTTCTGCCCTCTTTCCTGCAGGATGGAGGCTGCAGCTGCCCAGGTGACGTGGCCAAGGCTTTCGGTAAAACCCCGCTTTCCGAATCCTGCCCGTTAAATTTGCTGGGGTGATCCCGGGACGAGACGGGGCACCCGCTTTTTCTCCTCGCGTGGTGCAGCTGCCGGCTCTGCTGGTGTAACTCCCCTTCTGTCCCTAGGCGCCGGTGCAGACTTTGTGATGGTGGGAGGGATGTTGGCTGGACACACCGAATCTGGGGGAGACCTGATTGAAAAGGGGGGCAAGAAGTACAAGCTCTTCTACGGCATGAGCTCCGAGGTTTCTATGAAGAAGTACGCCGGAGGAGTGGCCGAATATCGGTACGGAAGCAGAAAACGGTTAACGGGATGGTTCTGCCTCTTTGCTCCGTTAAATCCCGTTCCTTTGGCCACGATTGTGGCGTTTTCGGCTGGGCAGGATCCCTGCTCTCGTAGAATCCAAAAGTTAGATGCGGGAGCAGTAAGATAGTAGGGCCAATTCTCGAGTGAAGAGGTGATGGGTTTTCCTCTGCTGTTTAGGTAGAGGTCCGTCCGTTTCGTTTGGATTCTGGCACAGAGCGGGGCTTCGACTGTGGAGTCCTTGGTGCTCTCTGAGCGTGGCTGTTTGATTGCAGATGTTTCATTACCCGACTAGGTAACGTCGTCAGCGTTAGTGAGGGTGGGGTTAGAGAGCAGGGCAGAGCACATCCATGAACACCAACTAGCAGTCA